TTTTTTTTTTTTTTTTTTTTTTTTTCCCCTGCACTCCATGTGTAGACCACTTTTTTTCCTATGTGCAAATATGTAACATGGGCCCTTTGCGAGCGGCTATTTTTTATTTTCACGTTTGAACTTATATATATGTAATTTTTTTACACATCCAAGAAAACAACATGTGCTTGGTTGGACATCTCTCCCCTCGGTCTCACTCGTATCCCATGTACAGATGTATCTCTACAAAAGGAGTGTATATTATAGCACGTACACACTGTGTGTGCAAACTCATTGGCCTGTTATCCCCTTTTTTACGCGCGAAAACTGCACACAACATCACCCCCTCCCCTAAATGGACACCACATGGATCGGAATAACCATTTGCTTTGTTGGCTCTTTCCTTGGGGCATTGGGAGACAAATTAGTCCATGACAGCTATATCAAAGAAGACGCGAAAAAAAAAAAAAAACACATGTCCCAAATGACTATGTGGTTATTTGGAACCCTACTCAGCGTAGTCATAGACCCAATACTCACCATCTGTTCATTGTATTTCACCTCCGCTGCATTAGTTGCTCCTTTTGCAGGAGTACACATTCTGTGGAATTTAATCATTACAAACATTTCCTTGAAAATCAGAACCAAGTTACATCAATACATGGGGTCTTTTTTTTTAATTTGTGGTATTGCCTTAATTATAATTTTTTCAGAAAAAAAAGTCGATATACATAACATGAACGATTTAGCTACCTTGTATAGTCAGACAAAGGTGATCATTTATCTTGTCCTTACCTTCACCATCATCCTTACTCTGTTGATAGTTTGTTTGCTTCCCTTTCTTTTCAAAGATATAAAAAATGTTTCTTCCAAAAATGAACAACTTTTATACATTAACAAATTTGTTGCAAACACCTGCACACGTTCATGTGAAATATCGGTTTTTACAAAAATTGACACTCGTGCGAAAATTTCGGGAACAGCAACTTCGTTTAAATCTGGCAAGGGGGGGGATTACCCTAACGGGAACTCCATGGAGCACCCCTTGCAATACCCCCTGAAGAGAACACATGATCACCTGATCGTCCACAACAGATCCGATAAAGGAAACAACTATGCACCTCACCCCAACGATGGAATAATAACTTCAAGTCAGGTGGAAAAATGCACACTGAAAAGACATACCAAAGTGGGGAAAAAGACAAACAATGCTGGCAGAAGAAACACACTCATGAATTACAGACCCAGTGGCTCCTTTCCGCGTCTACCTGCCAACCACACATTGCCTAAGCATCCAACTGAGAAAATTAAAAAAATTAATTTCAAGTCAAGTAAGACGCAGAAAAAAAGGCACTCACCTCAATTTCGCAAAAGCAAGTCTTCATGGGATGGGCAAAAGGGATATGTTCGGCGAACCCTACACAGAAAATATCCCCGCGTTAATAGAAAGAACTCAGATGTGCTAGGTAAAAAAAGTTCAAAATGGATCGAATTACGAGAAGACCTCTACAGAGGTGAAAACATCCCTCAACAGAGTAAAGTAAATGAAAGTAACAAAAGTTACCAAAGCGGAAGCCACACAACGAGCTGCTCCAAAGCAGAACCGATCATAGAACCAATTGCCGACGCACATTGTACATCTACACATAAAAAAAAAAAGAAAAAAAACTTACTAATATCACACAACAAAAGTATCACAATGATAAAAAAAATTTTTCAAAATAAGGACAAGCCGAAATTAAAAGCATGCAAGAAGAAACAAAAAAGTTTCCGCCGTTACACAAATGCCCATAAACAGAACGATGGTACAGTGGAGGACCCCCCCGAACTGAGTCCCCAATCGAGTCACCCCAGTTCAATCGCAGGTAACGAATCGTTCAGCCCAATAGATGTTCTTAAGGGTACCGACAAAATGGATTCGTGTGAGAATTGGAAAAATGTGGAACCCTTTTCGCTGATGGTTTATTCTCCCACACGTGAAAGGGGGAGTCCCGGGAAGGCAAGCGTCGCCAATAGCCGCGAGGGAAGAAGTAGTAGTAGTAACAGAGGTGGACGAAGTGACCCAGTCCAGCTGCAATATCTTGCCCTCATCGCATCCATCTATCCGGCGGAAGCCAAGTCGAGCAGAATCAGGCACCCAGAAATATTATACAGAATATGCTGTTGCACATTGTGTGGCATGTCAGGAGGGTTCGTAAATATCTTTTCTGAACAAATAATAGGAATTTTTTCCAAAGAAAAATTTCATATGTTTACACACCCCTTTGCATACGTACTCATCATGCTCACTATCTTCTGCTTATGCAATCAGTTGTTCTTCCTGAACATCTCGCTGTCTAAATTTAGCGTCACTTCAGTCATCCCCCTCATCATGTCCAACATAGTCTTCTTCAGTAGCCTCACAACTATAATCATGAGAGAGGAACAATCTGTAATCCACTCCACCAACGCTGTGTTCTTCTCCCTTGGAGTCCTCCTCGTCATTATCGGCATACTATACCTACAGTACAATATAAACCGAATTCTCTTGCGCTTCTTCAAACCGAAAAAAGGGTGAAGTGTTTAAGCATCACCCATATTCACATGCATCTTCACATTCATATTAATATTCGTGAGAGAAGAATTTTTTTTTTCGTTGGCACCCTCGCACCATCTGTTCATAACCTTCCCGCCCACTTTCACGACCCCACGCCAGATTATCCATTGGTGTTCCACCTTTTCACATTTACACCAAGCGGGTTAGCATCACAGAAAGGAAGCGCAACAAAATGCAGTGAACCCTCTTTACACCCAGCACGCGTGATGAGAATAAATCACGGTACTTTAGTACATCCTCCTCGTGGCGCTCGCTCAATCCGCCTAGTGCCGATAAACGTAAAGGGCACAAATGTAGTGGCCATCTCAGGTACAGATGCGGAGAAGCTCTCGAAATATGCTTCCTTCTGCCCCCCGCTTCAAGAAGTTACCCTGGAGCATATTTTCAGCAGAAGAGGACCAAACACAAATTATCAACGACGACAGTGGCAGCTGCATGTGACGAGTGAGGAACAGTTTGTACGTGCCCATATCGTACACATAACATGCACCCCCTTAAGGAGAGCACAACGCACCCGCCCCTTATCAGGTGACGGGAGAATCTACTTGGCGCATATGCTCCCCATGAAAATGCATCCTGGCGGGGTCATGGGGCGAAGAACTAGTTGATCGAAAAAACACACATGAGGGAAACGGCCAAGGGGTAAATCCATGCAGGCGGGTCTACCTCACAGTTGTGACGGGACTGCCTACCAAATACATCCCAAGGGTCGGGTTATCGCCCACCCGATAAAGTCACAGCGCAGGTGTGTCTCTGTATAGGGGAGCAACACGAAAAGCAGTGTTATCCCCTCAGCCGTAATAAAATCGTGATTCAAACAGCGGCCTGTGTTGCAGCCCCGAGCGTGGCCATAAGAGCAACCAGAACAGGCCTCCCCCCCTCCTGCGCCGCTCCACACCGGGGGCAAAAAATGAAATTCGCGTTAACGGCGCTCACTCTTTGCTTCCTACCAGCAAAAGGCGAAACAGTGGCGAAGTACACCTTCATCACAAGCCGCCCACGCTTTCCCCCCCGAAGCGGCAGACAGGCAACCCACACAAATTTGGGAAGAAAAAAAACAAAAAAAAAAAAAAACGCCATACACATAAGCGGAAACGACCTGTTCGAATATTTCGCCACCTTAACCAACGAAGAAGACAAAATGAATGAAGAAAAAAAAAAAAAAAATAAAACATACTCCGTCACGTATATCCAAAAACTGCCCAAAAAAAATCTCCTCTTAAAAAGATGGAAATACGACCTGTATGAAAAAATTAAAGAGAAAATGAAAAGGGACTATGAGATAATGAGCAGAACTAAAGTGTGTAGACGCAAGTACAAACTGCCTGTTGATTTTTTCAAGCTAGGGGATCAGGTCAGAGGAAAAATTGTCCAGGTAGAGAACCACCTGATTAAGCTAGACGTAAACGCAATTAACTTTGCGCACCTCTACATTAAACGCTACTTTGAAGACAAAGCGCAACTGGGTAAGAAGTACCAGGTGGGAAAACACATCGACGTCGTCATATGCTACATCCACAAAAAAAATGGGATCATTCAGGTCACCGACAATGAAGAAGAAATTAAGGCGCTGCGGCGAAGCTTGCAGAAGTTGAGAGACGCAGGCTTTTTGCCGTCTCGCACTGGGGAGGGGGCAAACGGGACAGCAGGTGAGGCGACAAATCGGACAGCAATTTCGACGGACAATTGGACAGTAGACGACGCGCGAAACGAATCCGTGGCGGAACTCCCAGAAGGTCCCGCGGAAGACCTAACCCCGGACCACACACATCATGACAACACCGCCAATAGAGGTGACCCCCCTGAACAGGTGAAGAAAAAGCTAGGCGTGGACTTCCGAACCAACGAGGAGGAGCAAGATCTCATGTACATCAAGGAGGAAAGCCCATCCAACAGGAAAAAAAACATTACACACTTCAAGATTGAAGACACAGTAAGTGGAGTAGTTCAATACATAAACGAAGAAGGGGCCTACATAAACATCGGGTGCAACACGTTAGCATTCTTAAACCTAGGTCACTACAATAGGGACCCCAGAACACTAATAAAAGATGTGAAAAAAAAAAAAATATCCATTGGAGATTACCTTAAGAATTTAAAAGTTAGAAAAATCGATGTGCTCAGTAACAGAATTGAAGTCACCCTGTACAACCCGGAGGAAGAAGCTTGTTTGCGTATTTTAAATCAGCAAGAGACTGTAAAGGAGCAAAACAAGTACATGCCATGTCCTTCATACGTTACACAAAACTACCACATGATTAATTATTTAAAAAAATTTAATGAATTGAAAAGGCAAAAGAAAAAAAACATACATAATTTGTTCGACAAGAAAGAACAGCTAAATGAATTAAAAAATATTTCTCATTTGAAGAAAAGCCAATTTGCTCCTTTCATGATGCGATACAATGAACTGACCTCACCCAATACGAACTACCAAGACATGCTAGAGCAGCATGCAGACAATGAACAGTTCTTAAAAGAAATAGGTGCACTGCCCAGCCAAGACGATGAACAGAAAGAAGAACATTTCAGCCTCGAATCGTTGAAAAAGCAAAATAAAGCCTTAAAGGATGAAATTGAAAGATATAGGGATAGGTCTTCTTCCAACACACACAACACAGATGAGGATAGCAGCCACGAAATGGAAGAAGCTCCATTCAGATCGAACGAAATGATGCAACAAAATTTAAATAAATTCTTCATGAACAATGTTAACGACTGGGATGATGAATCCATGGACAAATGCTCCACTGGCAGAAACACTGATAGGTGGGAAGAGGAAGACCAAACCATCCCCATGGAAGATGACTCAGATGATTTTTTCCGTCTCTACCATGAACGTGCTAACCAGAAATTAAGAAACAAACGAGACGACAGTGTTCAGGATGGAAACAAACAAACACTCATGTACCTAAAGGATAACATCCACAAGATTAAAGAAAATGTACTTAGTGAGGGAAGAAAGAAGACTGATGTGAAAGCGAAGATTGGTGACAAGGTGAACAGCACATCTGTGCAAGCCTCAAATGAGATGCTACACCGATGGAACCAAGTCCTAACCGGCGATTCGCACAAAAGGGAAAGCGCTACATATGATGGAATGGGTGAGAGGAAGGACTCTGCAAAGGGGGGACAACCCGACTGGGCCAGGTACTTGGAAGAAGCGGAAGAGGATGACGACATCGACGAGTCGGACGATGAGGGACAAACCCCAGGACAGTATCCCCACGGCCACCAGGGCAAAGACAAACCCACAGACCTTTACTACATAAACGAGAAAGAAAAAAAAAAAAAACTTAAAAGGAGGAACATCTTTCGGGATGACGAACAAGTGCAGGAGGACCTGTCCATGGGGGAGGACCCCAGCAGCTACTCCGACAATCACAGGGACAAATTCGGGGGCGATTTCACCCACGGAAGGGACGACATAGGGGATGGTATACAAAGAAGTGATGAGCAAAGTATTGACCGAGAGCAAAGCAGTGACGGTGATGAAGGCGATGACGCGGCCGGCGAACGCTCCTTCTTTAACGTTAAAAAAGAACTCAAGTACATCTTCAGCCAAAACCTAAGCATGACCCTCCCCAAGGACGAACAGAAGTGCATAGAGGAAGCGTCCAAGCTCTTCGGAGATGACATCAACACGTGGAATGAAAAAATGTACTACTACTTTGGCGACAGAGATCAGGTTCCCCTGGATGGGTTCGATATTTATGAGCAGGACGAATTCAGAAACAACCTAGTGGATCAGGGGGTCCAGGAGTTCAGTGAGTACCATAAGCTGCTCGACGAGCAGCAGTTTGATGTGACCAGCGAGAGGGACTTCTTGGCCGCCACGTATGGTGCTGCTACAGGGGGGGCACCTGTAAGCGGTCCGAATGAATGTGGTCCGAATGAAAGTGGTCCGAATGAAAGTGGTCCGAATGAAAGTGGTCCGAATGAAAGTGGTCCGAATGAAAGTGGTCCGAATGAAAGTGGTCCGGATGAGAAGGGTAAAACAGGGAATGGCCTTACTGGCGCAGACCCCGTCAACGAAGGAACCAACGAAGGAACCAACGAACGAGGAGGCACATCAACAACGCAGCAAGCCAAAATGAGTGAAGCCCTCATGGAGGATGATCTCGAAAATTACTTGAGCACCTTCGTGGATGAGGAGGCTGAGAAGACGCAGCAGGATGATCTGACCAACGAACTGCAGAATCCACCCTATAAAGAACCGCACGCAAAAAAGCACACACAAAATTGCGTCCCTGATTTACACCCCCCAGAATTAAACCTGAAAGGGGAGAAGACAGACGTAGGGAAGAGGACCGACGAAAGATCAACCACCTGGAGGGACAACATAAAATCGGTGGACTGCCTCAACAACGGAGGTACCCCTCAACCAAGTGGTTATGTCGAGATGGACAAAGGGGACTCAACGGAAGGTGCAAACTCTCCTAATGAAAAAGAAATAAATGTGGAAGACATTGTAAATAAGGCCATAAACATTGGAAATCTGTTCAGAAGGAAGGAGCTGGCAAAGCTGATGCAAAGGAAGAAGACGCAAGAGTGTGAAACAGAGGGCGGTGCTGCTCATGCAGGTGGTGAGAAATTCCCCCGTGGAGGTGATGAGCAGTACAGCTGCCCGCAGGGACTAGTGAAGGACCCAGCAACCAAGCCATTCCTAAGAGTTAGCAAAATTGTGAAGCAGGGGGAGAAGGAGGAAATAGCCCCCCTGGATGTGAAAGAAGGCGAACATCAAGATCAGAACGGAATGAGCAACGTGCAGGAGGACGCACTCGGAAGCAGCGTCCAGGAGGACCACGATGAACTGAAACCATACAGGCACGCATCCTACGAGGTGAGGAACGAGAAAGTTTATCCCAACTAAACCAAATAATTCCCCCCTGCACACGTTATTATGCATGGCGTTGTTTCTATTAGTAGGTGTGTATGCTCTAATTCGAAGAGTATCCCCATCCATTTACCGCTTCACTTTCTTGCTTCATGTCCCCTCACCCACATGTGCAGGTGCTAGGATACTACAAAAGGAAAAGAAAAATGAGAAACTTTCACGACTTGGAAGAAGTCGATGCAGGAAATGAAGAGGACGTCGTTTTAAAAGATGAAGATTTGTTGGGCAAGTCCACTGAAGACACAGGAAGTGAAGACAAGAATGACTCCCTCGAAGAAAAGAAAAAAAAAGAACATTTGAATCTGGACCGACAAATGGATCTGCTCTTCCTACATGGACAGGAGGACAAATTGACGGGAGGAAATTACGTGGAGAAATTACTGGGCGAGGAAAAATATAAAAATAAAAATGCCAACAAGGAAATCGATTTCCTCATTCAAAATTATAAATACGTAAATGAACACCCTGATGAGCTGATTCAGGATTTTTATAAAAACAAGGAGGTCGAGACAAACAAAAATATGGATCTGTCAAATGGAGGCATCACTAATGTAGTGAAGGAACCAAATGGACAAGTGGAAAATCGCCAAAGGGGAATAACAAACGATGGGGTGTACGAAACGGAAAAGGGGAAAAAACTTCCAACAACAAAAAATTCAGTGAGGGAAAAAACACATACAGCGCAGTCAACACATTTTAATATAAAACAAACACACGGAATTGAAACAGAAGCCAATCACATGTCTGATGAAAGCCTAGCCCTCAGATCCTTGTCGTTAAAATTGGGTCTTTTAAAAGAAAAACATATGCACCTTGATGACAAGTCCCTGATTAACCTATTTGTGAGGAACAAAAAATTTAGAAGAGCCTTAAAATCCTATGGCATTAAAAATGTGAAAAATATTTCCATACCCCTTATTTATAAAATCACCAAAATGCTTTATTTTGAGCGACCCTTCCCTAGGAAGGAGCAAACGAGAAAGTTGAACATGGATTAGTTTAAATGGGGGGGAAAGAGAAGCAATAGGGTTAATTACAAAGGGGCGTGTCTCCAGACGAATTAGACCCCTTTCGTTGGCCACTTTGGCAACCCCCCCCCCCCTCTATTGCTTCCCTACACGAAGTGGACAAAAAAAAGGAGAGGTGGTGGAGGTACGCGACAAAGCGGTGTATGTACACGTTTTATGAGGGCACGCGCTTGAAGTAATTGTCCCCTTGCGCCACTTCAAGCCATTTCGGTCCCTTTTTGTCTTCTGTTCATACACATCGCTAACACGCCCATCACGCGTAAAAGTGCTCGCGTATGAAACACTCATTGGCCACCGGGTCGAAGTCAGCAAGGGGGTCATACTTATTCAGGCGCCTGCTCTCCTTTTCCTCTTCAATCTTCCGCACCTCTTCCTGCACCTCCGGCCGTTTGCTCAACTTTTTTGTCTTCAAAATATTCCGAAGCATCTTCTCCATTTTGTAATTACCCCTGTGTTTGTAAAATGTTTCAAACTTGAGGCTACAAAATTTGTTCAGGTAGTCCATAAAATGTCTTTTCAAATGCTTCAACTCCAAACTGGGCCTAACCATGTTGTGAATACGATTAAGGACATAGTAAATCGAATCATCCCTAAAAAAATTATACTTCCTTTTTTCCCGATCCATGAGATTATTATTAACTTCAATTTTGTTTATGTAAATTCTACTCATTTCTTGTCTGTGTCCATAAAACCTTTTGTAATTTTTCTTCGGCTTAAATTTTAATCGGTAAATTTTATGTCCTCGAAAATGCTTCATAACGGTTGCCTTGATTCGTACGTTGTCTAAAAAGGGGGTACCGAACAACAGCTTCCCTTCCATTGTATTATGAAAAAAAACTCTGTTCAGGTAAATACTTTTATTTTCTTCTTGCTTTATTCTGAATACGTCATAATACCTTCCCTCCTCCACCCATCGGGCTTTGCCACATATTTCGATAACACAGAATTTACCACTCCTGTCTCGATCATCTTCTATTTCGGAAAGTTTTATTTGTGCGGGCGAATTTATTAACACGTTCACTTTGCTTTGTCTACTTTGTTCAGGCTTCCATCCGTTCATGCTAGGTACAAAAGTGAGGCTTCCACGGGAGGGAGACAACACTACATTTGCTGTCCTCCCACGGCGTGCTACCACTTTTGCTGCGCCGCAAACTTGTGGGGAAAACGCTGGACAAAGAAAGAAAAAAATCGCGCATAGGACTAAAAAAAGCATATTTCCAAGGAAGGCCCCTTCTCTTTTGTTACTTCTGGCGCCTGCCCCAAGATTGCTCCTGTTCTCTGCATTTTTGCGCAGATGAGAAGGAGCGGGGGGCCACAATGTTGTACCGCGCTTTACTACACTGTGTTGCGTTCTTTTCCCTTTTCTTCCTTCGGCGAATCCCTTCTTATGCATACTCTATTTAGGAGCCCCTTTGCGCTACATCGCTCCTGCGATACGTGAGCCGACGCAACAGGATGAACGCGCGCAGCGCATGTGTACGTATGTGCATAGTAAATGAGCTGGCATGATCATTTAAACTCCCTCCCTTCTTTCCTTCTCCGCCCTAGCGTGATATGTACGGCTCAAATGGGGAAAATAACCCAAACGGCGCCGTACACCTGAATTTAACAGAGGCCAAAATGTACCAGTTTGCATGTAATTTTCAACCGTACACTTTTTGTATATATATATATTTTTTTTCTACCCTCGTTCAGGTAGCTTTTTCCACAAGAAGGGGACCTATTTGGTAAAATGACGCCAAAATATTATGAACAGTTCAAAAAAAAAAAAAAAAAAAAAAAAAAAAGCTAGTCAGGAATCGCCAAATAAACTGTGCTGTTCATTCCGGTTTACCATCTCTCCTCGCGCATAAGGTGTACACACTTGCGCAAATCATAGTGACGGCATGTTTTCAAAGGATGGCCGCGCTCACGGCAAGTCTTACTCTAGCATTTGCCTTGACGCACACAGGAGAAGGGGCACAAAGGAACAAATTCTGTAACGGTCACTTTTCCAACCGTGCCCCATTTGTTCATGCTATACAGCTCATTTGGGAGAGTATGCGCCTGATCAAAAAAGTTACACATCTTTTAAAGCGAAAAAAAGCTCGCGTGTAGAGTACAGCTTGCCGATGTGCACACATGCAGCAGGGTTACGCCCACATGGCTATGCGTGCATGCCGTGCTAGCATATCCCGTCCCACCATGGAAACTTCCACTCTTTGGAGAATGAAGCTTACAATGGCACTCTACACCAAAGGGGACGCAGCTTCACAGAGGGACACTCAAATTGATCAGCATATGTACTAAGCAAGGTGTTCACAAAATATTTCCCCCCCCTTTTTTAATCTGTCACGGATAAAAGTGCAAAGCTGTATCGCCATTGAGTAAAAAAAAAAAAAGCGATAATCCCACTTTGCACAGTCTCAACTTAGGAGTCCCCCCTTTCTGGGAAGGAAAGGCGCTTAGATGAATTTTTTAAAAAACTTTCACTCGACATGGAACCCTTTTCTAGCAACTCATGTGGGTATAAAGAACTGCTTAAATTGTCACCAAAATGGGAAGTGTTCGATTTAAATGTCTTGTACACAGGGAAAAAACTTAACCCAAAATCTTCGTCCTTATCTTTTAAGTAGTGGAAATACCTACTCATAATGATGTGATTATCACGAGTTTTTCTTTGCTTCCCTTGTCGTGCAGAAAGGACATCCCCAATTCGGTCCATGTTGTGACTAGCGTTTTGTATTTCATCTAACAGTGCCCTTTCCATCCCTATTTCGTAATTAGTTTTCGCTACAAAATCTTTAACCCTTTCTGTGTATGGTTCCACAAGAATATTTTGCAAGGTCGTCTTGAACTTCACCTTTGATAAATTCATTTTCACAACTGGTGTCTGGGTCAGTCTGGCATACTCGTTCTCCCCATCATCTGTGTCTACCCTCTCGGTTAATGACTTTAGTAAATTTCTAACTTGTTTGTTTTTCCTGACGTTTCCGCAGAAGCAAAGGAGAGAGCACCCCACCAGGAGGTACATGCATAGGGGCGCGATCACATTGATCTTCTTCATTGGAGAGGGAGAAGCACAGATGTAGCGTGTCGTAGTTCTTGAATGAGACAATCGCTCTGTGGTGATCCAGGCATGCGAAAGGACAAATGTAGGAGGAGGTGAACAAAAAAAATCAGCACAAATCGCGGGCACACAGACCGCAGTGAATACAATTCAGCCAATCGATTAAACACAAAGCAAAATTCTTTCCCAACAGTGGGCTCTAAAACTATTGGCTTTGACTCTCCCACCCAAGAGATGAAAAGACACACGTGACACTGCACAAAAAAGGGGGTGATATTAGTTATACACTCCGCTATTGCAGTTATACTTCGTGCGCACTCTTAAAAAAAAAAAAAAAACTCACATTATACATTTGTATCTTCTAGAGATTCTTCCATGTAGGACAAATTATAAAGTAACGCAGCATAGCTGAGAGTAACTGTTCTCCATGGCGACGCGTGAGAGGCAACACAAAGGGATAAACTCACCTATAATATATTATAATCTGTATGTACACCAACATTTGGGGAAAAAAAAAAAAAAAAAAAAAAACTTCCACGCATGCACAGTGCACAATGCACAAAGGGGGAAGAATGGGGAAAGGCAATCCTTAAGCGGGGCCTCTCTCTCCAAAAGAAATAACCATAGAGACGGTATGATTATCAAATGATGAGTGATAGCGGTAGGCGCACAACATCGCTGTCTGGGCGAGGTACTTTTAATTAAGCAGGAGGATGTATACAGGGTACACACTGCACCGAGTTTCTAAGTGGACCAAAAGAGGGGAAAATACCCACAAACGTTTATAAGTTAAGAAATTGACATTTTGGTACTCCACTGCGCAGCAGTCTAACATTTCGAGGAGGAAGTGGAGAAGCCACCTCCACCAGTAGACAACTCACAGCTAACACGCCCCACGCAAGGGGTAGGAACGGTGTTAATTATTTACACACGCGGTGCCTCACACATCAGTTGAAGCTACACAAATGTAAAGGTAAGTTTTTGCCAAGCGGCAAGTCAAATGGGAAAAAAAAAAAAAAAAAAAAAAAATAGGAAGTGTAAGAGAAGAAACTCACGCACCATCGCAACAATGGGGTAGACAACACTCCTGTAAAAAAAAGATACAGGTGTTAGGGAAGGGACGCCTCTCCTCACACCTTCCGTGTGGACTTCCTCTAACTCCTCGTGTGGTGGGCATGCTTTCCGTACTGATTCATCTTCCTGTTCGTCTCACTTCTCTCGTACGGGCGGCCCGTGCTGCCTTGTCTGCTACCTGAACGCATCTCTGATACATATTTATTGTTGTGCTTTTTGTACCTACCGCTTTTGGAGAAGTCATCACTCGTAGATTCCCCCATTCGGGTACCAGCAACCTCGGAATGGTTCGCCTTATATTTTTCCACGAAGCTATGACCGCCCCCATCTTTTCTCTGGCATGGCTGTTTCTTTGCATTATTAATATGGCTTGCATTATGAGACACTATGTATTCTTGAAGAATTAAAAAATTGGAGTACCTACTGTTGTAGTGGTAGCTGGCTGTTGTGTTTCCACCTCCACGGTTACCATCATGTGCATATCGCCTAATCGAAGAGGGTAACTTAAACTTATGGCATTTTAAAAAATGATCTCTTAATCTTTCATTCTTAAAAGCAAGGGTAGCTATGGTGGGACAACTCTTTGTTAAAAAAATATCTTCAAAAACGGGAAAGTGATTGCTGCCTGAAAATTGGGATTCTATAAACTTCCTCAAATCATAATCGCTCCACTCGGCTGGTTTATTTTTAATCACGACGCATAGCTTGCTTTTAATTTGTTCTGAGATTTCTTTCCAGCCTAAATGGCTTGGCCATATCGTGGATCCTCCTCTCTTCGGATCGCAGCCGTCTCGGCGCCTTTCTTCGCTCCTGCCACTGAATGCACTTCCGCGTTCTTCGTGGAGACCATTGTGGTGCGTATCCTCACGAATGTGCCGTTGCCCCCGATGTGATGTTTCTTCCCTGTTTTGTCGTTCCCCTTGTTTGTAACAAGTCTGGTCAAGTAAATCATCTTCCTCCATATCTGTCGCTCTACCCATGTGCTTCTCATCATCCCCATGTTGGTTTCCTCGTTTCCACTTTATTTTATGACCAGGCCTTTGAAAATCTTCATCCTGATGGTGATGATCCTCCATCGTCCAGCCATAGGCATCCAACAGGAACTGCCTCTTCTCCTCCAGTGGGAAGTCTATCATCGTTGGCACTTTCACCCCCGCGTCTTCCTCCCGTATGTCTGTAATTATTTCTTCCATACTACCTGGACAAAAGTATATGTTAATTTTTGCGACACCTCTTTTGTTCATTTTTTTTCTCCTTTTAATTTTTTTTAAAAGCTCCTTTTGTTCATTTATTATTCCTTTGATTGCATCACAGGTTGCGTTTTTTTTCCTGCTTTTCCCTTTCAGATTATGCTCATCCATTTCGTCTTCCTCCATATCATTTTTATTTTCATGCGTGATTCCTCCGTGGGGAGCTTTCACCCAATCTGATGGCGCAATATTCCCGCTCCATTTTCTACCACTTGAAGCACTGCTCATAATGCCTTCCTCCCCATTCCGCACACTGGTGTCCTCATTGCGACAGGAGCTAACTAAGCTCTTCAATTCACATCCACTCTTCGTGTCAGACGTGTTGGAATTCTTTTTACTTTCAACCCATTTGAAGGAATCTTTCCTTTGGTAATAATCATCACCCATTTGTGCCTTTACATTTCTGTAATTGCTGCCCCGATAGGACTCTTCGTAGTGTTCTTCTTCCTCTTGTGAGTCCTCGTTTGCGCTGTGTTGTCCCTGCCTTCGTTTGTGGCCCATTCTGTCCTGACCCATCCTCGATGCTGCTTCTTCGCCGTCTTCCGCGCGATTCCTCTCACCCCGCCATAGGCCCCGTATCCTCCCCTGTGGGATTCCCTCCCCATCCATCGCAAAGCTGGACTCACTTCCAAACCAGTCACTGTTCCCATCATTCGAAAGGTCACTCTCGCTTTCATCACTCCTATCACCATCGTCGTCACGTTCACCGTCGCCACCACGGTTGTCTTCTCCGCCAAGAAGGGACTCGTCATATAAACGGTACTCCACGCCGTTCCCAATTTGATGAGAGTCCGTTGCAAATTCTCGGTCGAGACTTAAGTGTGAGTTATCGCCACCTGGAGCAGTCTCGCCGATGTTACTCGAGACGGAATCTGTGTCAAAGATCCCTTTATTCATTTTTTTTACTTCACCTAAGTCATAATTTTGAGCCGATGAAACGACATGGCTGCTATAACATGAGGGGTCTCCCCTTCCACCGTCGTCTCCATCCGCATCGTTTTTTTGAGGATTGATAAAACGAAAGATACTCCATTTCGTATCTTCCTTTTTTGGGGCGACCCCATGTTCGACTGTGTCATTTAGTGTGCCATCCCCCCCTCTGTCCACTTGTACAGTAGCTGCTTCCTCACCGTTTGTCTCCTTCCCGTGGGGTACTCTCACCAAAATTCTGTTATTCCTTTTTATATCGTCATATATTTGGATCCTCTCCTTCTGAAGGAGGAAGGACGCAAACTGCTCATTGCAAATTACTTTCCATGGATACAAATTCGTTTCTTCCTTCACCGGTCTCAGCACCTTTTTAATTTCAAACCCAGCGTTCTTCTCTACGCCCAGGAGGAAATAAAGGATCCCTTCTCCGCATATATGTGATGGAACGTTGTAGCATTTTACGACGTGCCCATCAGGGGGATCTCCATCATATTGCTCCTCTGCAATTGGGGTACCCCGCTCGTGGTTCATTAATAAATGGGGAAGTGTCATCGTGGCGTGACAAGAAAATGGGGAACATGAGGGGGAAAAAAAAAAAAGGACAACTCTTAGGAATTTTCGCAAACGCTTCGAACAGCTTCCTACACCATTCTCTTCCCTTCCCTTCTGCGTTGCTTCTACGCCATTGTGGTTTTTCTCTTTTTTTTTTTTCTGCGAAATATTTAAACAATTTTTTTTTTTTTGTGCGGTCGTCATATATTTTTTCTTCGCCTCTTCTTTTTTACATTTTTTTTCTTCCCGGCGAATGAAAAAAAAAATCGGAAACCGGCCCGCCATTCTCATCTCTTAAACTCCGCTGAATTGTTAAAATGGGCCGCGCTTGTGCTATAATTGTTTATGCCTGCCATTCTGCATGTTTTAACTTTTTTTTTTTTTCCCTTTTTTGTGGACGCAAAAAGTTGACCCACCAACCAGTGCTAACGTGATCCCCTATCCTTTTTCGCCCAAGGCGTGTAAGAGGGACCTCCCCAAAAAAAAAGAAAAAAAAGAAAAACGACAACCCCCCAAATTAGGATAATACAAAAAAAGGGAGAAAAAATCACACTTCGCTTATGTGTCCCCTAATGAAAACAAAATGCCACATGGGAATTTTCGAGTTCCATTTTTCGAACGGTCTAACAAATGACGAGATGGACAAAATAGAAAAAAGGGGCCACAGCGCGACGGTGACACGGCGTGATAGCTGCCCCCCACCCATGGCCATCGCTACAAAGGCGATACATTTTTATTGCAAACTGAGTATCTGCTCTCCGTCCGTTGTACAATTAGATGAAAGCGGATAGACTATAACCACGAGGGCAGCGAAAAAGAACAAACTGATCGCATCCTTAACACAGGAAGTGTTCTCACTCTGCTGATCTGTCGACGTGTCTCTTTTTTACCCCGAACAATGCACGTAATAGTGGCGAAGATGTAAAAAAAAAAAAAAATGGATACATATACATATGCATAAGTCACCCCAAAGGAACCCAAACAGATGTGCTCTCCACGGAGAAGACACAACTGAGTAGTCGTAGGGGGCTCCTTAACAGTTGCAGAGGGTACGTACCGTTTTGTAGGTTACAAGAACATTTACTCTTTTTTCTCCCTCCCTAGCTGCGTATATAACGAGACGGCCCAATTTTAAGGCCACACAAAACAACGGTGCCGATTGGATCGGTTGGAAAAATGCCATGGGGGGCGGAGGTACATTCATATGTGCACGTATGGACATAACGACTCGGGGGATATAATAGGGGGAAAGGGTGAAAAAGAAGCAGGAAAAAAAGGAATATCATCAACACATACCCTTCAAGCCTTTTTTATCCGCCACGTACTATTATACAAAAAGGGATCATACACTAAGCGCGAGTCGTCCCTCCGTAGCTTCTTAATTATGGAGGGCCAAGCATATTTGACTTTTCTCTTTGTGCGTAGCTCGTACTTTTTTATATGCGTACTCTGCAAGTTCACGTTTTCATATTGGTCGTGGTCCTGAATGGATGTATCATCTCGGCTAGCTCCACCTGTGTGCATGCTACGTGTAAGCTTGTCCAGTTGCGTGAGCTCCGCCACCTCAGTCAGCTGTTCCACCTGGGTCACCTGTGGCATGTTCAAATTGCGAAGGTCACTCCAGAACAGGTTGGTAGAATTGCTGTCGTAGTACTTTTTCACATTGAGTATTTTTTTTTTTCTTTTTTTCTTTTTTTGCTTTTTTGTCCTATTGAAGTCTTTTGGGCTGTTGTTGTTCTTCTCGTTTTTCTTCTTCTTCTTCCCATCAGGCGGCGCGTCCTTCGGGTTGCTTCCGTCCGCACTTTGCTCACAATTGTAGTCCCTGCTACTCTCCTCAATGCACATATCAACGTTACGGTCTTCATTTCCTACACTGCGGGTGTTGCCCATTGTGATTCCTTCCAGGCTTTTTTGCTCCTCCTGGGGGAAGACGCAAATTTCATCATTCTTGCTCGACACATGACATACTCTGCTGTTCTTTTCGCTTTCATTTGAGTTCCCAAGCATGTTGGTTTCGCGAACCGGGTGGCTCCCCTTTCCAGGTGCGACCTTTTGGATCGTCTTTCTTTCGTCCCCTATAAGTTCCTCTTCCCGCCGTGGTACGTCATTCAGCTTGTCTGCTTCAATGTTCGAACTTCTACCCCCTTTTTCCTTGCGCTGCTGTTTCTCTGCCTTCCTATCACCACTTTCCGCAGCGCAATGGAAGAGACTGCCGCGCACCCACTCGGGGCTCGCGTCCACGTCTATGTAATTCGAGGGCAACTGGTTGTCCAGCACGTTGTGCCAATTCACAATTTTGCACGCCTGGTCATGCAGGCGCTCATCGCAGCTGTAACCACAGCAACAGCTCCGACAACAAAGGCATCCACAGCAGGCGAGTCCATCGCAAGTGCACCAGTGGACCATCCGCCCTTCGTATGCGCCCTTACCTCGAGCAGCACAATCGCACACTGACTTCTCCTTATTCTCCTGCACATGAGCGGAGGGGACTTTCCCCGGGAAGACTTCCGAAACGGCTGCATCAGACTCAGTGGTACAAGTGGCGCGGGGGGGAAAGACACCATACGGATGCGCATTCGACTGAACCATATTTGACCAACTGGAAGTCCCCCCCCTTTGAGGATAACTCACTTGAGCTAACCTTCTTGCGAAGCAGCTGTTCCATGTCCTCCTACCCTGCGCAGCGTGCCCAGGGGGGTAGATATTGCTATCATTCCGCGTGAATGCACAATCGTGATAGGGCATTGCAAAGGGGTGATTCATCTTCATGCTGCCCCTACACGTGCTATCCATGTGGGTACTCCCCTTAAAGGCACTCTCCATCTTCCCCCCGCACCTTACACCGTTTGGTATCGTCTCCGTACTCCCATCTACAGAGGCATATTTCTCTTCCAATACGGATATGCTATCCTGTATGTTCGTGTCCCCATCATTGTAACTTTTACAATCACCCCTGTCGTCATTGCCCCAGTGGGGACAGTAGTGCTCCCTGCATGATAATACGTTTCTCTGGTTTACATGTGTCCCACCCCAGGCCAGACCACATATTGCATCATGACAAAGTGATTCATCTGTTGAATGGAGAGGGTAACACCAATTTGTATGTGCCAAGGAGTGGGGACAACATCGTAGCTGTACTTCCTCACCACTGCGAACCATTTTCTCCATCTGTAACTGATTCCTACCTCTCCTTTGAAAGTCATTCCTGCATGAGTTTGTCACCATGTTAAAATAAACCTCCGACAGTGCTCTGTTATTTTGTCTGAACAGGTCATACAATCTGCACTGGTTGCACTTGAGTAGCATGTGGACATTTCTACCATCACGAATGGTGTTCGTTTTGTTTCCAACCCCGTCAGTGCAAATGCAGGTCCTGGTCTTGTTACTACTTAATGGGGCATCTCCATACCTGAAAGTGCCCATCGAGTGGCTACCTTTTCGTGTGTCCCTCGTCATTCCACGCGAGTTAAAATAATCGCAACACCCTGCGTGTGCTGCACTTTCTATATCGCGCATGATTGGTCCATTTTGTCTGACTTTTTTTTTCTTTTTTCTTTTTTTTCTCTTCCCCACCATAGGGTTGTATAAATGTGCCCACTTCTTCAGCGAACAGCCAGAAGATGCTTCCTTCATTTGTTCACTGTAAATATGGGTGTTTGTATTTCGGCCGTTTCCACCATTGCAGACCCCAACGAGGGGGTTGCTAATCGAATGGTCACAACCACTCCCTTCACGTTCGCGCTGGCGTTTGTCCTCCCCAAGGTAGCACTCCTCAGGCAGTTTCCCCAACATGCTTGGCTCAAGTTCGTTGTCTATGTTGGGTCGATTGAAGCAATCCTGCCACTTCTTAACCCAATCCTGTATCGCCTTTTCAGAGTATTCGTTTATCTGGCCCTCCATTTTAAACACGTCCTCACTACCCCGTGACAGGGCAGCCACTACGTCCTCTGCGGAACCGAGCGAACTGTCGGATAAATTTAAGTCTGCGAAATTATCAGAGGACGTGTCGGAAGTTCTGTCCTTGTCGGGGCTTTTTTTCAGCTGACTCAGATGGATGTCCTCCCCCACATGGTTGCTTAGCTCCGTTGGACAGACAGACGAACTGGGAGGTGTTGTCCCCTCCGGTGGTTGCCCCAGCAGCTCTGTCTCCTTCCCCGCCGCTATGTCCTCAAATGCGTTTGTACATGCATTTCTCCTTGTGGACTCAGATGAAGAATTACTATTTGGTACATTTGCATCTCCCCCTGCAGAGGACGATTCACAATTGGAAGGAATCATAACCGTCTTCTCTCTCTCCAGCGAGTCTTCTTCATTCTCTTCGATTAAACTCCCGCTCGAGTCCCCACTATCACATGTGAAAATAACGCCACAAATTCCTTCACACATATTCCCTTTCACCCCTTCTTCCCTTGTGTAAGGGTTCACATGCTCCATTTCATGCGGCGGTGACATATCCTCATTTGACCTTTTTCTAATCATGGGAGATTCATGAATAATACACTCATTAGCGAACGTGCTGTCACTTCTTTCCTGATCTAACACTTTACCCTCCTCTTGAATCCCTACCTTGGAATTATTCCCTCGTTCAAATGCATACTTCCCACGTGAACTACACACAGTATCGTTTAATATATCTGTGTTAAGTAACCTTCCATTATTTTTTTCTTCCCCCTCTGGCTTGTTGTTGTCTTCCCCCATTATGAACAAGGCACTGCTTTCTTCACTTCCATGAACATTATTTTTGTAATTCTCTTTTGCTTCATCATTGTTTCTCCCTTTCAATGGGGTACACGATTCATGTGATAGGTTCTTTGGAGCTTTCAATTCTTCCACGATATCTTCATAAAAGAAAATTATTTTCGTCGGACTTTTCACCACCTGTCCCTCTTCGCATGGAGAACTCCCCATGCTGTTCGTATACACAACAGGTAAAACACTGGACGAGCATCTATTTGAGCTGATACGAATTAAAGCACGTTGACCAGAGTAACAACTGTAAACTCAACTGCACAAAAGCTAATTAATAAAAAAACAGGATCAAATCGTATTCTTAGAATAACGCCGTAAATACAAACAAAAGATGGTGCGAAGAAGAAGAACGAAGCAATACCTCTTCCCCCTAAAAAAAAAATTCGGAAGTACCTACATGGGCACCTGCACAAAGTGGACAAGACGGAGAAATATATAGCGACCCGCTTGACCGGAACATTCCTCCTTCACAAAAAAGGAAAAAAAAATATAAAAACAGGAAATGAAAAGAAATTTCCAAAAAATTGTTTAGCAGATTTATGCGTGCTGTCTACCTCTTCGGAACAGACGCGAGGTTACAAAAATGTCATTTTTGAAAAAAAAAAAAAAAAAAAAAAAAAGACCCAATGGTGACGTGGCTACCTTTTAGGTAAGCCACGTTTCAAAGAATAAAAAAAGGGGAACACAAAAAAAAAATGAAAAAAAAAAAACGGGGAAGCACTAACAGGGGAAAATTATCCCAACAAAACAGTAACGCGATGAAGAAGCAGAGAGGGAAAAAATATATATTTCCACACGAGCGAGCACAAATCTGTGGAGAATACAAGCAAACTTCCGCTAAAAGGCGAACGCGCAATAGTTAACAAACGCCACATATGCACAAGTGTGTGCGCGTAAGCGATTCTCCACATGTACATACAGCCCGCACGCCCAACAACTGTGCGCCGGAGTGAGAGTCTTACAAAAATGATAGCGGCACGACGGCTACTCCGCTACGCCACTTCTCCCCCACAACTACATGGCCAAGTCGAAGTTCTTCACCCGGTTGAAGAGCGGCGCACGGGGCACCTTCTTGTAGGCCACGATTTCGTCCCCCACCTCAAAGTCCTCCGACGCGGAGTTAAAAATGATGGAGTTCACGGGACAGTCCTTACTCAGCTCCGTGGTGTTATCCTTATTCTTCTGCATGGACAAGACAGATATCCTCTTGTGAATAATCTGTTTGTTCCTCATAACAGTAAAGTAATGATTCACGTTGCATGTCCCCTCCTTAATCGAAACGGACAGAACTCTTTTCCTCTTGGACTTATTTTTCTTCAGCGTATAAAACCCAGTCTTATTAACAACCATCCTGGAAACGGGTTCGTACACATGTAGTGAATCAAAGTAAAAATTACAAATCCTTTCTAGGTCTTCAAATAATTTGTAAATGATGTTGTGGGTCCTTAAAATGGCTCCGTTCTCTTCAATGCTCAGCTCTACACTTTTGTCTATCTCCACATTGAAGGCAATTAAAAATATGGGCTTCACATCATTGCAGTGCTTCAAATCGTTCATGTTAAAAGAGCCTACTCCTTTCGACACAACTCGAAATGGTTCCCAATGGTCAAATATTTTTCCATCCTCTATCATGTCATCTGTTAGCTTATTTTTTTTCACATAATTTCTTTCAACAAAGTTATTAATGTCGCAATATTTTTCTTTTTTTTCTTTCCTTTTGTATTCTGCAATTCCTTCGAGGATAGCTTCTATGCTGCCCTCATCCCCCGCTTTGATTATCAGCTGGATTTGGGGCAGCTTGGGCAGGCTAATCACCCCGCCGCCTGCACCACCACCAGCAGCGTCTTCAACAGCAGCAGCGCCGCCAACAACGCCACTATTTTTCGTCGCAACATCCCCATAGTAACTGTTCATCAGGCTGTACTGCGCCACCTTCGACTTATACTTGGCGACTCTCTGGGCGCTCCTCAAGTTACTCATTTCGAAAATGAGGTCTCCGTAATTTATGCCGCTATCGTGTGCAAGTGAAATGGGGCTAACTATTTGGACCACCTCGGAAGGGTAGGCCTCCCTCATCAACTGATTATTACAATTGTAAATCTGCTTCACCTTTGTGTACATGTGTCCGATTAGAAGATAGGAGTTCATTTTTAATGTACCTGATTTGCACACCAGCGTAAGAAGTTTACCCCTGGATGGATCGATTTTCTTCTCCAACACGTATGCAGAACACAGGCTTCCATAATCACACATCAGATTTAAAGAATCGCTCAACTGTAAAATACACTTTTGCAGCTTATCAATGTTAATATTTTTTTTTGCAGAAATGGGGACAATTGGGACGTTGCCATTTTCTTCCAACTCTGTTATCACATCATATGCTACTAATGATTTGGAGATTTTTTCCAAGTCGGACCCAAATTTATCAATCTTATTTGCTGCTATAATTAAGGGAATGTTAAATTTTTTAGCTAGCTGAATACACTCTACAGTTTCACTCATGATCCCATCATCTACAGAAATTACTAACACAATCAAGTCGGTGCACTGAGCACATCTTTGTCTAATTTTTTTAAAAACGGAGTGTCCTGGGGTATCGAGAAAAGTTATTTTCCTTTTCGTTTCTTTGTCCACAACTTCAAATGCACCTAACTTTTGTGTGATGCCCCCAATTTCGTTCTGAGCCATGTTAGAATTTCTGAACCTATCGAGGAGAGTTGTTTTCCCATGGTCTACATGTCCCAGGATCGTCACAACGGGGTTACGTTTTTTTAAATTCACATCACTATACTTTAATTTATTTATCACACCTAACTCTTCACAAATCAGCTCCGCTACTTCCTTCTCCAGCTTTGTATATTTTGTGATGTGCTCATTATCCAATATAAATTTACTTACGTTAATAATTTTTTCTTCTGCCATACCCACATGCTGACTCAGTGCATGCACAGTTATGTTATTGCTGTCTAGATGCTCGTATTGTAAAATGGATTCTCTTCCCTTTGGTATATTCTTCATTTTACCCTTATGCGTGGAGTTTGTTCGATTAAGTTCGCTCCTTCCTTTATCCACTACATTAACTTCTTTACCTTCTAAGATGGTTTGCGGCAGGGGGGTTACTGCACGCTCGTCATCTACACTGCTTCTCCTCTCAACCGCCTCTACCCCTTCAGAAGCAAGCAAACTGCTCCTCATCACATTTGCATTTTTGTTCTTCTCTCTCAGGTTTTCCAAAATGGATGAGATGGAATCCTCCCCCTGGCTGCCCCCCAACCCTGCATACAACGACGTGCTGTTCATTTGTTCAAAAATGTTAAAAGTGTTAAAAGTGTTCACACTGTGTAGGCTGTTCACTGTGCGACTGGAGGATTTTCCGTCCCTCGTTTTTTCCCTTGTCCCATTTCTAACCTTTTCTTCTATTGGAGTTTTGCCCTGTTGGGATTTATCTCTCGCAAGGGTTGCCTCCCCCCTTGGAGTATCCCTTAATGAGGTGGACAAATTGACATGTGCCTTTTTCTCCTGACTTTGAAAATGGTCTGCAACGCAGGTCGTGTCCTCGGGTTCTTCGGCCAACGCGTCACCATCTCCATACATGCCAATGTCCCCCTGCTGGAGGTCCCATCGGGGATCAGCGTCCGCACACACGTCACCACCATAAGCAGCCTCCTCGCGTAGCTGCGATTCCCTCGTGCCACCTTTGGGTGGCCCCTTAAAAGCAGGATAACCCGCCTTAACTTCTTCACTAGGGTATGCCCCCAAAAGGGAATCACTGCACTCGGCTTTCTCGAACAGGGTGGCATTACTGCTAACAGATGCCTCTGCGTCTGTCCCAAGTTGTGCTCGTTCCCCTTGGGTAAGGATAATTGGGTGTCTCCCCTCAACCCCTTTCTCCCTCCCACTAACCGCGTCAGTGACGCTTGGGGTGGGAACTTCTACTCTGCCATTATGCCCAGTGTTGACCACAAGGGGGGGGTCCACATTTTCCCGCTTGACGCTCTCATTACTTTCCTCGAGCGAATTTAAAAACAGATTCATGTACTTTTCCTTCAAATGTGTATCGTAATAACTCATATGGTCACTAAAAAAAGAAGTAGCTTTGCAAATTTCTTCCTGTTTTGTTTTTTTCAATTTAGTAAAAATGGTGTTCTTTTTGGCTTCCTTCCTTTGTTCACTTTTTGGAGACACGTTTTTTTTCATGGGGTTGTTCTGTGGCAAGGGGGCCATCCCAACGGCGCCGCTCAAACTTCCACCCCAATTGACACCCATTTTGCCACCAAGGGGGGCACACAATCCCCCTTGCGAGGCTACGTCTCCCCGGGGCAAAATTTTTTTCCACAGAACCAACTTGCCTCTCGGCTTAAGCGGACTGAAGGGTAACGTATTCACATCTATTTTGGGGGCCCTATGTGGAAGGCCAAGACAAGCATCGGTTTTGTAATTTATTTCCTTCAGTTCTTTGTCGTACTGCTTGGACGCCTCGATAATTTCTTTCAACTTGTGCGCTGCCATTTTTTTTATCCCATCCTTCATGATTCGCCCGCTCTCTGTCTTCACTCCATTTTTCAGCACGTGTTCGTATATCCACAGGTTCGGGTCTTCGAACTTTTTCACCCTCGGCTTGGTCATTTCGGGTAAGAAGCTTTTGCGAGGCAACCTTGGTGAGATGTCTATAGCGCATGAGCTTCGCCGTCCTTCCAGTGAAGCGGGCGGAGTGATAGGGTACACATAATGGCTCCGCCGTTTGATCGGTCGGAACACCTCTCACTGGGGGAAGAGGTGGTGGGTAAGCCCATAAAATAGTTGCGGACAATGGCCGCTGGATGGCACTGTGACGGAAAAAAAAACAAACAAAAAAAAATGCAATGCACATACGTATACCTGTACGTGTGCCAACTTTCACGTGCCCCCTTTCTTCATCGCCGCTGCTTCAACTTTGCAACTTTTTCTCACCGCACAAAGTTACCAGCGTCATCGAGAAGAAGCTGTGCATCTAGAGGGACTCGTGAGAAAAGAAAAAAAAAAAAAAAAATTTGACTATATGTTGATAAAACTTTTTTCTCGTCTGGGGCCCCATGCGCAGCTCCCACGAAGAAGGGCAAAGGCTTCATAAAATATACCATCTCGGTTATTTTTTCCCAAGGGGGCGCATCAAAAAAACATTTTATTTTCCCTTTTGGGGGTTGCTTCAAACGGCGCAATTATATATGCACGGCGCGCTGCATCATGATTTTTCCCCCTTTATAAAAATGGGGCTACATTTTCTGGACCCATGCAGCTCTTTGCTTAAACATAATATTTTTCCGCAGCGCTGAGCGATAATTTTGTTGTAAGTCCGCTGTGCTAACTTTTGCCATGTTTTTTGAGTTTTCTTCCGATTTTTTCTACTTATTGATTTGTTCCCATTTTACTGACTTTTTACGACACTTCTCTTTTTGTCCCTGTTTTTTTTTTTTTTTTTTTTTTTGTTGTTTGTTCCCGTTTTTGTGGCTGCCTGCGGACCAACTCGCAGATCAACGCGAACAGATCACGAACAAAAGGCAGTTCCGGAAAAGAGCTATCCTTCTGTTCGTCTGAGCCGCAATGTAGCAGCTGCATTTTCGGAGGAATTCCCCCCCCAGAACGTTGGCGCAAAGGCACTTTACAGCCTCACCTCTCCATGCGCATGCGTAACAGCGGGACGGTCGCCATATGTGTTGTGAATCTCACCGCTGCGTAAAAACACAAATACAAACGTACGTGCATGTATATATGTAGTCCTGTTATATCTTCCTTCTTTAGAAACGCGGGACTCCTGTTGCAACCCAGTCCCAGCTGCGATACTTTAAACGTGGATGGCAGGAAGGACAAAACGTGCGCCCTGTAGCTGATATTGTATGAACAAAATACCGCGTGTTACTTCACCATCGTGCAACGGTAGTGCCAATAATGAAAGTCAAGAAGGCGCGCACGAAGGGAGGCAACGCCCTCGCGGGCAAGGGGAAGAAGAAGCTTGTGAAGGGCAAGAATAAGCTTGCCACAGGGAGCGGCGCAAAGTCTGGACTCCTACAAAACAAGGCCAAAGTGAGCGTCTCAGGTCATAAAAAAAAAACTTCCATGGTGAAGAAGACAATTGGCACTGCAGGAAGTAAACGATACAGTTGGCTGTTCGAAAAAAACGGGGACAAGACCCAACATGCTGCTTCCACCAAGGCGACCAAAATCAGACGCTCAGGTGCAGACGACAGCCCCGATAGCGATGAGGATGATGCACAAAGTGGACGCGAAAATGGGATTGAACATGAGGGAGGAGCGAAGGCGAAGAAAAAAAAATTCGTCCTATACAAAAACAAAAAGGGGAAGAAGAAAAAGAACAAAAACAAAGGAATGTTAACCTGCTTTCACAACCTAGGTCTCAGTGAAAAAATGTGCAGAAGCATATCAAGTAACCTCAAATATAACCGACCCACGGACATTCAAAAAATGTGTATCCCAAAAATACTCCACAGGAAGGATGTCATATGTATAAGTAAAACGGGAACAGGCAAATCGCTAGTATATGTAAGCACGATGATAGACCTCCTGGCAGAGCACAGCCAGTTTTTCGGAGTTCGAGGTCTAGTCTTGGTGCCCACGAAAGAGCTAGCCATTCAAATATTAAAATTGTCCAAAAAAATATGTAAAAATTTTTTTAATTTAAAAATAAATGTAATAATTGGTGGAATTAATTTAAACAAGCAATTCGATATGCTCAAGGAAAATTTAGACATTCTTATATGCACCCCTGGAAGACTTAGTTTCATATTAAAGGAAAGCAACTTAAGTTTGGAGAAAGTAGAAGTGCTCATCATTGATGAAGCAGACAGGCTATTGGAGTTAAACTATTTCAACGACATGAATAATATATACAAAAGTATGCATCGTACAAACAAACAAACATTACTAATCAGTGCAACTCTCCCAACGGATGTACAAAACTACTTCAAACTCAAATTAAACAATCCTGAAGTCTTGTCCGTGAGTTCAGATAATACCATAAGTGAAAAAATGAAATTACATTTTTTATTCACCAGATCGTATGAAAAATATGGAGTCCTAATTAAACTCATTTTCCTTTTTAAAAAAAAAAATCTCGGCAAAACTCTTATTTTTTTCTGCACAAAATATCATATTTTATTTTTTTCAAAAATATTATCATCTTTGAAAATTCCTCATGCGATGCTGTATGGCAATTCAGACACCTCCTTTCGCTTCGATCAGATTAAAAAATTTACTAACATGGAAGAGATCCAGTTTCTCCTCGTCACTGATGTTGCTGCTAGAGGGATAAACATCACCAGTGTTCAAAACGTAATAAATTACAACCTCCCATTTTCTCCTAAACTGTTTATTCACAGAGTCGGTCGTGCCTGCAGGGATGACGCTATGCCCAGTGGATACGCCGTGTCCCTCGTCACCTACCAGGACGTCCTCTACGCCTACGAGATATGCTTCTTCATCGGTAAGAAGCTCAAGTTTTTCAGGCGCGCCGCCAACACAAGCGAACCCACAGACACGGCAAAAGTTGACCAACACACGGACACGGCAAAAGTGGACCAACACACGGACACGGCAAAAGTGGACCAACACACGGACGCGGCAAAAGCGGACGAACACACGGACGCGGCAAAAGCGGACGAACACACGGACGCGGCAAAAGCGGACGAACACACGGACGCGGCAAAAGCGGACGAACACACAGACCCCGCCAACACAAGCGAGCTCGTAGAAAGCGCGCACGCGCCCGGTGACGTCGTCTACCTCGGCTCGCTCAACCACGTCAGCGACTACGTCGAACTCGTGGACAATCACAAAAACGCAGACCAGGAACTGGGCTCCCTCAATAGAAGCATCCTGGCCTCCTACAAGCTGTACTACGCCATGAGGCCCAAAGTGTCCAAGTACGCCAGCACAAAGTGTGTTAATAAAATTAACAAAATAGGGGGCGTTTACAAACTCTGTTTATTTTATCACCCGGATGAAATATATGAGAATGTCCCTGCCGATGGGGCAAGAGAGGAAATTCCCTCGAGTGGACAGAAGCTAGCACAACTGGAGGGCATACCAGCTGATGGTGTGGTTAGCTCTCCTAACGATGGGGAAGCAGACGGGACAGACGTTACCATAGAGGCGGACCCACATGGAGGAGCCCTGGCCCAGCCGAAGAATTACACCCACAACGAACTCATGACGATCATTCACAATTTCCAAAGCAATGACAGTGGGAGAGTGAAAGGAATATCAGAGGATGTTAAAGACAAATTGAACAAACTGAAAGAGAGGATGCATATGACTAAGCGAGGCCGAAATGGACAGGCAACGGACGACATGGACGAACTCATGGGCGCCCTTGCCATGGGTCTCTCCGATCACGAACATGATAGCGATTACGAATTGGAACAGTTGTGGGAGGACCGCGAAAATAATAGTGGAGATGATGCGGAAACAACTAATAAGCCGAAGAAAATGAGCAAAAGGGCGTTAAAAAAGATGAAGAAGGAGGCACAGCAGAAGCAGCAACGCGGTAAAGATGCCACCTGTGGGGAAGCCACGCAAGAGGAGGAGACCCCCCTCAAAGAATCCCCCCCAAATGGAAGAACCAACAAAAGCAACATCTCATTTGATGATATACTAAAAAAAATAAATGAAAAAAAAATGAAACAAGAAACAGCCGCAGCCTTCGCTATTAAAACTCCCGGATTCGACTTACCTCCAGATGAGGAAGAAGAATTGAACAAGCAAAGATTCATAAAAAAAAAAGTGTGGGACATGAAGAAGAGAAAATTTGTCTTACAGGAAGTAGATACCTTCCAGAGTGATGGCTTCAAAAAGAAGGACAGACGAAAGCATGTAGGGGTACCTGGCAAAGGTAACCACGCAGAAGATGGCTCAGCTGAACCCACCAGCAACCTCTACCAAAAGTGGGTGAAACGCACAAAAAATAGAATCAAAAATGTAGGCGAGATGGAAGATGAAAGAAGACAAAAAGATAGAAATCATTCTGTCAAGACAAAACGGGGAAATCGCCACTCAGGGGACGATACAAACAGTAACCACCTGGACGATGAAAAACAAACGCACTTGCAAATGCTCAAGCAGAACCACCCTGAGATTACCGAATCATTATCCAATAACATCAAGCTGACTAAGAAGCAGCAGAGGCTGTACAAGAAGTACCTCTCGGGCAGGTACATGGATCCTGAACCAAATTCCGCATTACACAAAAGCTTGCCACAGATGCAGAAGGAGAAGGCCAAAATGCTACAGAAGAAACTCAGGACAGATAAAAATTTCAGGGTGAGATATGCGCGCATGAAGAAGAAGAGGCACGAGAAGAAACTGCGCGAGAAGGAGAACTTGAAAAGCGCCCGAGCGCGTTCCCTGGCCATTGTTAAGAGGAAAAAAATACGCAAGCGGGGGGGAAAGGCGAGGTAGTGATGTGGTTTGAAGTGAATCTACAAGAAAAGCTTCAGCAACAGAGAGGCGAAGCGTTTAACGAGACATAATTCTGAATGTCTACAGGTGACCCTAGCGGGGAGGCGGCCTCGCTCGTGCCCTGGCAATATGCACCCCATGGTTTCATCCCAAATGAAGTGAAACACAGTTGTTAAAATGTCTCTTCAAAATTGACACAAAAAAGACAAAAAAAAGGGTACTAAACAAATGAGGACAAAAAGGCGAAGCGATAGCGCGTCATGCATAAGAATAATGCATACGAAACAATGCATGCCCATCGTGAAAGGACAAAAGGATGGAAACGCGTGTGGACCTGTTTAATCGGACGCACGAGGAAACAGATCACCCTCAATGTTATTTATTTTTGTGCTTTTTTTATCATTTTTTTAACACTTTTTTTTTTTACCGCCCCCTTCACAAACGTGTTCGGCGGGCCCCCAATAACGGGGTACCCGAACCGGGGTCCCACTTTTTTTTTTTTTATCGCCCCAAACATCACGCGTTGGTATTCTTCAAATAATTTTTTAAGTTGCTTATTCTCTTATCAAGGTCATTGAAGGAGATGTTTAGAATGTTAGATTCCTTCAAAGGGTTATTCACAGCTTTGCCTGGGTTCCCCACCGTTTCATGGACCTTCCTACCACCGTGACTGCTACCAGCGCGGCTACTACGACCGCGGCTGCTACCACTGCTGCTGGTACTGCCAAAAGACAAATCACAATAATCACTTCGCTTGGACACCAGTATGTCTTTCCTTCTTTTTAATTCCTCTAGCTCCTTTTTAAAATTTTGTTTGATGTCTGCCTCTATGCCTTTCTTTACACTTTCTAACACGTTTGGTCGTGGTTTCGTTTCTTTTTTTTTCAACTTGGTTCCATCTCGCGACTGGATGTTGTTCCCCTTTGCGTCTGAATTACCCTCGTTTTTCTCCCCCCCCTTGCTGATTAGGACGGTTCCAGTGGTAACTTCTTTAGCCCGACCTCTCGCTGACACCCCGTCATGCTTCTTCACACTGGTGGTAACGACAGCAGGCATAGTGCTAGGCGCGGTGCTGGCCATAGCGGGCTGATTCCTCATATCCCTCTGCTGGTCCAAGTACTGTTTGACCTTTTTAATGGAGTCCCCACTGTCGCTCATTCCTCCGTTGTCGTCCCCATTCACCCCCTCCTCTACATTCACCACGCAACCGTCCCGTTGAATGGCCTTATCGCAGCTGGCAATCCTGTTCACACTTTTCTCCCTTTTAAACGCATAAGGGGAGGTGTATTTTTTGCTAAGGATTCTCTGATGATGAGCATAATCGAACAAATCACAATTGAATTTTTTTTTTATTTCTCTTGGAGTTAACTTACTAAGGTTTTCTATATTCAACTTTGTACCACACGAATCTGTTTTTCCTTCCACGTCCTTTGCTGCACTAGGTCTTTTCTGAAGAGATGACGAGTTGCGATTGGACTTTTCCTGACTGGCACCTGATAGGATGCTCTGCTTGGAGCTATAATAACTTTTTATATCCTTCGCAATGGTACTGTTAATATGAGTAGACACGTTACGCATATGCTTGCTATTCGAAATGAGGTGACTTTTCACTTTGAACTTTGATGTGCAGGAGCAGCTTCTATTGGAGAGGAAAGAATCGGAGCCTCTTCTCATTTCCATAACCATGCCATCTTCACCTGGTTTAGCATTTTTTACTTTCCTGGGTATAGGAATGGGGTGAACAAAATGGTCTCTCACCAAATGGTTTTTGAGCTTGCTCGATCGGCCCATGTGTCCACTCACATTATTATTATTCTCTTGTCCTTTTTTGTAATAAATGAGTGGATGACGATCACTCCTTCTGCACGTGTCACTAAATCGTTCAGGAAACTTTCGCGCACTCATTCGCTTGCTGTTGTGTATACTTGCGTTGATGCTTCTCATAGACACGTTTGAGAATTTCGCCTCAGAGAGGTTGTCCTCGCAGGGGACGTGACTGCGGTTGCGACTGCCATTGCGACTGCCATTACGATCGTGGCCACCACGACAGCGAGCACTGTCATAATTCCTTGTGAACACCCTGTGGTGGTAATTTCCCTCCGACACGTTTCCCCTTCTGTACCACTCGGCATGCTTGCCGTGTTCTGAATTAACTTTGTTCATGCCACTTGTGAAAGAGAACCCACTGTGGTGACTCCGTACAGAACCCCCTCTGTGGTCATGTAAAAAAAATGTATCATTCTGTATAATCCCTTTTAACCTCTCTATCTTTCTCCTCAGATATTTTATTTCTATTTTGTAATTCATTTCCCTCATTTTATAATCCTGAATTTCTTTTTTCATTTTGTATATGTATGCCTTCATTTGTTCTTTGCTCAGGTACCTGGCTTCGTCATAGTAGCTGTCCATGTTGTCTCCCTGCGAGCTGGGGTCCGAGCGACCCGTTCCGTACGAGATCGTCCTCTGCGTTGGGGGCCGCACCTGCGGTGATAGCGGTGGTGTTGGGAAGGCGTTAGTGGTGGTGCTAGTGCCGGTCGGCTACTCCCCCAGTAGCCGTATCACCCCACTCTGCTACAAAGACATACACATGAACACACATTGCAGGTGCTCATTCGACGGACATAACAAAGGCAGATCCCTCACCTGGTAATTCATTCTCCTGAACGGCTCCTTCGACGATCGCTTCGGGGAAGGAGAAAAAAAAAAAAAAAAAAAAAAAAAAAAAAATGTTACGCGTCATAATTACGGCCCCTGTTCGCTACTCACTTGGGTGCCAATTTGGACGTGTCTGGTTACGCTCCGACGTGGAACCCCCGTATAGGTAGGCAGCCAAAGTGGAGTACTCACCTTTCGAACTTCCATTTTAAGTGCGTCCCTCCCCCAACGGGAGCAGGCTTATTTAGGGAAAGAAATGCGTGCAGGAGGGCATCATAAATTATGTCCTTTAGGCCCACGCCTTTTAAAATTGTTCAAATGTTCTCCAGTCTTAACCTTACGCTCGGCGTTCCTTGTCCTACTACATCCCCTCTTGTGTTCTTCCCTTTAGCGGTTTATTTTGTTTTTATTTTTACTTTTTATTTTTTTTTTGTGGCCAAAATGAAGCCAAAAGAATGGCTACGCACGGATTAACAATTGCTAAGCAGGGCTTAAAAAAAGTTACACCTTATGAATCTCTGGAAAGAAAAACCTTCACGTTTTTGCGATCGAAAAAAAATGTCTTTTTATTTGAATTTGTCACACTTATATGTGTATACACATGGGGAAGATAAAAGCTGCATTTATTTTCCCTTTTTTTTTTTTTTTTTTTTTTTTTTTTTTTGTTTTATTCTTTTACTTAAGAAGGCAAATGCGCTCGTGCTCATTCGCGCTCCTATGCGAATATACCAAATTTTAAAAAGTGAAAAAAATCCCCCCCCAAAAAAAACATGGCGATGTGTTATGAAACCAAAAAAAGGCAATTGAAGCACTTTGAATTTAGTTACACATTTCTCTTATTTTCCCCCATTGTTGTCCCACAGTGCTATGTTATATGTGTCAGTGCCGCGTGAACAAGGGAAAAAAAAAAAAAAAAAAATACATACACGCCTTATGAGAAGAGTGAACTACGCCGCGTAGAAGGTAAAACTGTTGATGCGAATTAGTTAGACATTCGAGTTAGCAACCAACCAAGGGACCAAAAAAAGGGAAACAAATGTGTGCCACTGAATATGTAACGGAGAACAACGCAATACTTTTCCACATACTATTCAATTTATGCTGTATCTTTCCGGGGGGGACTCGATTTGTGAGAACAGCTTTACTCGAATTTTTTTTGTTCCCCTCCCTGTCGAGGTGTTTACACCTTAGGGGCCCATACAGCGTAATTTCCTACATGTACTGTTTATCCTCCATACCGCTAATGCGTGTTCTTAATTTTGTATCTTGTAAAATAGAACCCTTGGGGGCTTCAATTTTTTTGCCGGTACGCCCCAATTTGCCGCTTACCACAAAGAACCAGCAATTATTGTATGCCTATCGTTCAAAGCGAATATCCACGCTGGTAACTTTTTATGTATTTTTTGTTTAAAAAAAGGGTGGGCCACGGAAAAAGGGGTCGAATAATTGGGCGCACCAACCGCTTCTTAAATGATACATGGAACGTGAAGCATAAAAAAAAAAAGGTTTGCTAATATGTTTCCCTTCGTAGTACTGTTAAGGAAAATATACCTCGCGTGGCAGCTGCTGCACCCTCTCATGTGTTAGTGCGTTGCCCTCATGACGGTACTGTCAAGTGGCGCGCTGTAGGCACCCCGTTTGGCCCCTGGATTTTTTCAACCCCTTAAAGCGCCGAGGGGCGCTTGCCCTCAGAAGCTTGTTACCACAGTATGCCCCACATTTACATATGCACCCATTTGCTAGAGCATACCAGCGCGACGCAAAATACGGCGCAAAAAAAAAAAAAAAAAGCAACTGAGGCACAATAATATAGTTTGCCCTTGTTGCAGTAGGCTGTGCGAGTCAATGTGAAAACATGAAGGGCGCACGCTTCATCTTGGCAATGGGATAAGAATAAAGCGACGCTGTGCGGGTTAATGTATTTAGTATCCCGCCCTTGGTAGTAGAAGGTGCCACAGGCAGCCCAAGCCCCCCTTTTTTTTTTTGTACTTCATTTTTTTCTTCATTTCAGCGCGTGAATTGCCACAAGTGCGCAACAGTTTGTTTTTTGTAGTGCCATATTCACCCAGTGATGGGGTCGGGTAAAAGGCGCCTCTCTCCCTCCTCTTCTTTGGCTGTTTAACCGTAGGCACGGTATTATAAGTTTACAAGCGCAGAAAAAACATTATGGTACGACCGCCCTATATACGTGTTTTCGCAAACTACATCCCGTGCAGGTCTAAGCAGTAGGTGTAGCGCACCGCGTGACTTTTTATACGCATGTTTTTTATTTTGTACATATGTTGATACGCGGTACGATGCACTGCTTTTCTCTTTTTTCCTTTTTTATCCCAAAACGTGCTTAAAGCCGAAGTTGACGGTACTGCCCATCCCCTATACATTTATTGCCGGTTGCAAAGAAAAAAAAAGAAAATATAAAATAAAGAGGAAAAAACAAATTTGGCCATAAAAAATTAAATATTTAAAAAAAAAAAAATTAAAAAAGTTACAAAAAGGTTACAAAAAAGTTACAAAAAAAAATTACAAAAGAACATTACCTAAGTAAAAGAAAACGAATTATGGTAAGAAGGAGATAAACGGAACGAACACGTTTGCCCTTCGTTATTTCAGATTTTTAAGTTTTCCTTTTTGTTTTTTTACCCCACAATCGTCCTTCCCCCTGTTTCTCAAGTAAGAACTGTACCATACTTGTACCCCTATATGTATGCATTTACATTTTTCGTATGCCTGGCACTACGCCAATTGTAGGAAGGAGGAGCTACAATTGTGCGGAAATGAGTACCTGCAAATGATCGATTCTGGTCCCTACATTATATTAATGCTGCATAGCGCGAGGGGGGAAATCTTCCTAAACTGCGTCATTCACGTATATTTTGTTTACTACGTATATACAAGTGTATGCATATTAGGATGCTTCTCAGGGAGCAACATTTATATGTGGTCCCCACCCACCCCCTCTTTTATTTTTGTACGTATAAGTTAAACTAGCGCGTTTTTTTTTTTTTTTTTTTCTTCACATGTATACTGTTATGTTGACGTGACAAATGTACCTTCCATGCTGTCACGCCTCTTTCCCCTGTGTGTGGCTCATGTACATGTCAACTGGCGGAAGCATTCGTCCACGAACCAATTCTGTTTTTTTTATGTTTATTTATATTTATTTCCTTTTGTGATGCTCATCCCCCGTCTGTGCTTACCTTACCAAAGCATACCCACACATGTCATCCCTCCCCCCGCTCTTGTAGATCCCCGTGTCAAATAAATTTTAAAAATAATTCAAACATGGAAAACATAAAGGAAGCTGAAATATCCCTAAGGGGTGTTCTGGAAGGAGGACACAGCGACTGGGTGACTTCTGTGTCAACACCCACCGACGCAAAGTTAAAAACCGTCGTCAGCGCGTCCAGAGGTAATACATAGCTACGCTGCGCAAAGAGGCCAGGAGCGTCCTAGCATGGCGCGTACACTGTTGACCTATACCAACCACTGTGCAGCTGTTCTGCGTGTATCCAGCATGATATAGAGCGACTTGAAAAGCATGTTCACCAGTATACGCCCAACTTAGCCCTTGATGGGTCACCCCATTACGCTACCATTGTACTTCACTCACTCTTCGTGTTGACCATCGGTCACATGTAGCAGTCAATTTTTCCCCATCCGGCCCCACCCCCCCCTCGCAATGTTTTTATAAACTTTTTTTCTTCTCCATGATGACAAGGTTTATCCCAGCTCACTCTGATAAAAATAATTATGAAGAGTTGATACAGCTCAAAAGTCTGATCAGTAGAAAAAGAGTTATGAAAACTTAGCAGATGCGGAAAAAGGGGCGGTGGAGTTTTTATCCAAAGGGATGAGGAGTGGACTGTACTACATTGACCATTTTTATTTTGTGTACCGAGTGTGAGAGTTGGCCACGGTTTGTCCTCCTTACCGTCATTACCGTCCTGTTTGCCCGTCCAGTGGCCGATGCCATACTGACACCCCGCACGTGTTTCCCTTCCCTGCAAATGCGTCCTGCAGACAAGAAGCTAATCGTGTGGAACATCAACCCGGATGACGACTCAGGCGAAATCGGAACCGCAAAGAAATCCCTGACGGGACACTCGCAAGCTATCAATGATGTGTCAATTTCTTCCGACGGTTTGTTTGCGCTGTCCGGATCATGGGACCACTCAGTTCGCTTATGGGATTTGTCTTGCGGAGAAACGATAAGGTCATTCATTGGACACACTTCTGATGTTTTTAGTGTCTCGTTCAGTCCTGATAACAGGCAAATAGTTTCAGCCAGCAGAGATAAAACAATTAAGTTGTGGAACACCTTAGCACAGTGTAAGTACACCATAACGGAACAGCAGCATACCGACTGGATTACTTGCGTCAGGTTTTCTCCTTCACCAAAACAAGCCATTATTGTTTCTTGTGGATGGGATAAATTAGTTAAAGTATGGAATTTAAAAAATTGTGATTTGAATAAAAACTTGGAAGCACACACAGGAGTGCTAAACACAGTTACTATTTCTCCAGATGGATCATTATGTGCATCCGGAGGAAAAGACGGAGTAGCAAAATTGTGGGATGTCAACGAAGGAAAGCATTTGTACTCATTAGAAACTGGCTGTACAATAAATTCACTTTGCTTCTCTCCATGTGACTACTGGCTCTGTGCGGCAACGGACAGATTTATCAGAATATGGAACTTGGAAAGTAAGCTTATCATTTCAGAAATATACCCAGTCAAACAATCCAAGGTTGGATTACCCTGGTGTACTTCCATCACCTGGTCGGCAAATGGCCAATTCTTATTTTGTGGTTCCACAGATGGAAATATTTATGTATATGAAGTTAAGAAACAATCCATTTAGAGAAAAAAAAAAAATAATAAAATGAAAAAAATAAATGTAAAAAAAAAAAAAAAACAAGCTGAACTGTTCATATTTTTTTTTTTTTTTTTTTCTCATTTTTCCTGCCCCATCTTTAATGCATATATATATGTGTATATGTGCACACAACGTATATTCTTACGTATGTATTTCCCCCTACTTTTCCCAAACTGCCAATTAATAACCTTATAAAATTTACATTTTTACAAAATTAGAGATGTGACAACTTTCTGTGTGGATACGCGGTGTGCCTCTACAAATGAGCAGTCACGCGTCCTGTTTTTTTTTTTTTTTTTTTAACACCCCAAGTTTGCCACAATATTGTACAACTGTCAGGCGGCAGATCCCACCACGCTAGATTGGTGGCAAAATGGGGCAGCCATACAGTAGGCTCAACAACGTCAACTGCGTACCAAATAAGCATTGTGGTGTGTCCACTAACGGAGAAAAACGTTTTCCCTACATGTTCAGTTCGAAAAGGCTTCCGCCTTGTGCACTTCCCAATGGAACCATATTTTGTCACGAACAAATGTCAACCGTGCAGTCGTGCAAAGAAGAGGGCGCCCCCCTATCCTTTCCACAACGTCCATGCCAGCTTAGAGCTAACACAACGGTTGTACCCGCGTATGTTTTGTGTGAATATCTTTCCCCTTATGCAAGTGTGCGTCCTTTTTATCAGGCGCCTAATCAGCAGGACGGGACAGAAACTTTTTACACACCCCAGGGGAGTGCCCACGGGGGGGAATAACTGCTTAGAGAGGGTTCCTATTGACGTGCTGGTGAAGGAACTCCATTTTCGTTTACCTTTAAAATGTCACATAATGCCAACTGCAAGGGTGAGGAACAAAATGCGCTCCTCATTTGTTAATACTATCCATTGGGATGATTATGTATGTCGCTCTCCATCCAAGTCCCAGCTGGCAACTCAGCCAATGTGGTCAGTGCAGCCAGCTAGACCCGCTCGATCGCCTCGATCACTTCAACCACTTCGATCACCTCGACACATGTAGTTGCCCCCTTTTGTAAACATGTGAGTATGTGCAAAACGCGCGCTAATGAGCAGCATGCCATTTACACCTTTACATTTAGCGGAAAAAAAAAAAAAGAGCAGCGGCTGCAAAGCTATGCTTCATTTTTAAAGGGGTAAACAACTTTTCAAAAAAAAAAAAAAAAAAAAAAAAAAAAAAAAGAATACTCAGGAGAGCACATCCTTGACAACATTTTTACGTTTACGAAATTTGTGTAGCATGGTTAGTGGTGAAAGAAGGGAGTGCATTTTTTTTTTTTTTTTTTTCTCCCTCCAAATAGACCATTCTGATACGAAATCGTAGGAAAGTTGCAAAAATTGGGACGCTTTTCTTTTCCCCCCCTCCAAAAAAAAAACTGCATCCTGCTGCGAAGAGACGACAAATCCGTCCTCCATTATTGAGACAACCCATGTGGGAAAGGCGTACACGAATGCGCACCCCTGTGTAGAAAGGGACATGTCCTGCGTCCCCCCTGTTTTTTTGCCCAAACGAAACCATTTGCGAAAATGTATATGCTATCGGATGACGAACTAGCCTACTCGAATAGTCTGTACAGTGGGGAAACCGGGACGGAGGTAAACGACACTAGCGCCGAGCAATCGCACGAATATGAACGGAGCCAAATGGGCAGCTTCGACCTGAAGCGCGGTGCGCGGGGGAAGGTGTACACATACAAGAGGTGGCGCAAACACGCGCATCAAAGTGAGAGCCAAAGTGAATATCAACAGGAAGACGACAGTCAGTACCGAAGCGAAGACCAGAATCCATATCAAGTGGAGGATCAAAGTTCGTACCAGTTCAAACATGAAAGTCCTTACCAAGGTGAGTATGAAAGTTCGTACCACTGCCAGTATCAAAGTCCACCCCAAAGTGAGGGCGAACATTTCAAATACGTTTGCATAGCATCCATAGAAGACGCGGAAATTTTGTTCAAGTGTAGCTTCCTGCCCCAGGAACTCGACGCCGCCGCGAATTACACCATAAAAAAAATACTAGGCGCTTGCAAAAGGAAACTAAATCACTGCAATAAAAAAATGCTCAATTGGGATAACAAAATTATCTACTTCACAATTTGTACAGAAAAAAAAATGGCATTTTTTCTAATCGGGTTACATATGAGAGCTTACTTCAAAAATTACGCATTCGAATTTTTAAAGAAATTGGAAATCTATACCAAGTCCGATTTATTTTCTGGCCAAAATTATAAAGCCAAAAATATCAACCCCTCAAAAATACACACCACAGAAGCATTTTTGCAGCGCACAATTAAAGGCATTAATAAATGTTGTCGCGATGAAAAAATTATAGCAGTTAAACAAAAGCTACACAAAATTAATTCCGTCATGAATAATCACATTGATAATTTATATCAGTCCAGGGGAAATATAAAAGCTCTGAAATATAAAACGCAAGACATGTCCAAAAATACTTTACACTTTGTTCAAAATAGTAAAAAATTGAAGAGAATTATGCTCATGAAATATTGGAAGACGTATGTTCTTTTGGCTTGCTTCGCAATCATAGGATTTAAGGTTTACCGATCCATATGATGGGTTACTTCTCTTTGCCTGGACGTTGCGATTATGCAGCCGGCGGCTACTGGCAATTCACGTAAAGCTTCGGAAGCGGCATGGAGCCGGCCACATCGCCCCCCTGCACACACACCACCTATTGGGCTCTTCCTGACCCCAATCCTCGTTTGTACATTTCATTTTGTGTAGCACTACTAGCACGCCTGATGCCAACGCGGCGCTAAGTTGCTCCTTTTATTTGTTAAACACCCCTTGTTCAAACAACCGCTTAACAAACTTTTATTTCGCTTTTCCTTTTTTTTTTGAAAATTTTCCCCTTCTTAATCACATGATCCCCTCGTTCATTCCTGCTCGTTGTCCTTTGTATCCCCCGCGCGTAGTGATTCGCCCTGCTGGTCGATTTCTCCCTTCGGTTCCTGTGCGTCTTCCTCATTTCCCAACCCCCCCTCTTTGTCCACAGACTCATTCTGACCATCCAACTCCAAAAGTTTCATTTTCTTCTTCCTCTTCTTCTCCTGCTTCAATTCGTTAATAAATTTGTGAATTTCCTCTTTCAGTTCTGGCATGGGTACCAGCTGTTCCTTGGTGAGGGGCGCTCGGTTAAATGGATCATTGGGTTCACTCATCAGGTGTCTCTCAATATTCTTTCGATCTATGACAATGCCAGATGTGGGTAGCAGAACAGGATCTAACATAATGTCTTGTAAAATGGGGTCCAAATATTTATCAGGCATATCATCCACATCGTCGAAGAGTTCTACTTCATCTTTCATATCAATTATTTGTTGACAAAAAATTTTAAATTTATTCAAGTCCTCCTTTCGCAACAAGCCTTCCCTCTTGCATATGTAGTAGGCCTTGTTGAATACTTCTGGCTTGTAGTACCTCCCTTCATTGGCAATTTCCCTTGTAAGTAGCTCCTCATTTTCCTTATCCGAGTTCAGTAAAAAGAGGTACGACTCCACAATACTCGTTAGCCATAACTGAGGCCTAAAATTATACTGCTCCATGTTCTTCACCTTTATGTTTAAGCATTTTGGACCCACTAAATAATCGAAGTAACAATTCAAACAGGTCACTATTTGGGAGAGAATAGTATTTGACGTGACTATACTGTTTGGGTAATTCTTACAAAGCAGATTCAAAAAAATACAAGACTTGTAACAGTAGGTAATGATCATTTTGGTCCTCGCTGCTAAATTCCTCATACTTTCATTCCTTATGTCCGTTCCGACATTGCCTCCCCCACCCTCATCATTATCACTATTGTCACTGTTATACGACTCGTTCATGTTCGGTGCATTGTCCGCTAAATCGCTTCCTCCATATGGGTTCATCATGGCACTGTTCGCACTGGCAGTGGGCACTCTACTATTGCGTGTCGCGTTGGCGTATGTATTAGAGCTCCCCACACCTCCACTAACGCTACTAGAACCGTTTGTCACACCACCAGCCACATTCTCCCCACGCTCCTGGTCATCCCTGTTCTTATCCTCCCTACGTTTAATCTCGGACAAGTAGGAAACGACCTCCTCGACCAAAAAGTTTACATCATTCAAAAGTAGGTGAATCAAGTGGACGAACAAATTGTTGTTCTTAATAACTAGCTGTGTAAACTGATCCACGTAAATCTCGTTCAAAAATAAGCTATTAAAATTTTCCACAATGCGAACCCTAGTTTGCATCCTCTCTGTGTACTCCCCCTTCTGCGATGCAATAAAAACGTAAGTCAAAGATTTTATCATATACTTTCGAGTCAAATCAGATTCTTCTATAATCTTTTTCATGTTATCACTTCTGTATAGGTAGGTGAATGTCTTCGGAGCCGCTTCGCACCTCAGGTGAATGCTCTTTATGTGGTTCTCACTCAACATGGTGAAAATGCAAAAGGCTAGAAACAGATCCACATTTAGGTAACTCATGAAATTTTCATTCCCTGGACTTTTAAAAGTGTCCAATTCGTACAGTAAATAAATTATGTCAAATATATCGTTTAGGAAAAAAGTCGGGATTATTGAAAATTGGGGGGATGCAAATAAATGATCGCTATCATGAGGACTCCTCTCTAAGTTGTCACTCCCCCTTTGACCCTGCGCTCCATCCAAACCCCCCACCTCTTCTTGGGGAATTTCCGAGCTTCGCTCTTCTTCATCTCGCTTTTCTGCACCTTCCTCAGTTTGATCAACCTGACCGTCACGCACATTCGCAGAAAGAGAGAGGCTACCAAAAGTTTTACCCCTCCTGAAATAATTCTTTTCATTGGGAGGAGGACAAGACTTCAACACCAAGTGGGTGAAGTTTCCATTGTGCTCACTCAAACTGTTTATCATATCTGTGCAAGCATTCCCTTCCATGTCGTACAAATATGCCACATGCAAAAAGTAGGCAATGCTCAAGTGTAAAAATTTAAATAACAGTTGAATAAAACGAGAGCTGTACAAAAAAATTTTCCATGTATGTATATTCATATAGTAAAAATTTTTGTCCTCTGCATTTGGAACCTTCTGTACTATCCTGATAAACTCATCAATGGCTGGTTTGAAAAAGACACTAAGGGATTTAAACGTGATCCAAAAAATGGTGGTTATAAATTTAGGTTCCTTCTTGAAGCACTCTGCATTTTTTACTTTCTCTTTTATTTTTTCGACATTTGATTTTTCTTCGAAGGAAGATTGGTTTGTTATATTTTTTAATAAAAATTTTGAGAAAGGATCATCCCTCAGGAAGAAAAATAAGTCGAAGTCGCTGATCTTGTTCATTGTAATGGGTTCACAAAGACATAGTAGAACCCAAAACATGTTCAGGCAAAAACCGTAGGAATTCTCTCCTAACAATTTTAAAAACAACCCATAAGATGCGTCTAATGATTGTGGATATGTGGAGTAGTGGTACATAATTTTCGTCTTCTTCTCGTTCGAAATGATAATGCAAGACAACCACAACAAGACTCGCTTCTTACTCTCCGCACCTGCTTTAAGTAAATTTTTTATAATCTCCACGCAGTTCTCCAATATCCAATCCGTGTCCCTCCTCAACATGACGTATGTATTCTTCAAAGCCCCCAACGTCATTTTGTTCAGGGAGTTCGTTGCACTATTATAAAAATATTTGTACATAGCAATCTCCTCTTTGTTAGTAATATTTGGCATGGTTATAACTGTGGGGGATATTAATCTCCCCAGGAGACTGTTCAACTGCAGGTTATACCCGCACGAATTTATTTCCTTATCCTTACTACACGGTTTCTCTGCGTTGAATCCTCCATGGGTGGCAGAAATGCCGCTTTCGCCTGCAGCAGTGTCCACGCCGGACAAAGCACAGTCCCTTATTTTGTCTCTCAAGTTGAGATGCAAAAAGATCGATTTATTATAAATGATGAGTTCAGCAATTTGCTTAAAGCTGGAGAGAAATTTTAACAACACGGCCACGTCATTTTTTGGATACACCAAATTTCTTCCATTCAAATTTTCAAAAAGCAGATCCACAATGGGAGTAAAAAATTTATTCATTTGTTTATCCTCCTGTCTCTCTTCATTCTTATCATTTTCTTCAATCACCAATAAAGCTTTTTTTAAAAAACGAGAGGTACATGAATCCTTCAGGAATTCATAAAACGTCTTAACCCTTTCCTTCGCTGGGATGCTCACCTCTGGGTACATATCTAAATTCTCCAAATAAATAATTACACTATTTATAATTTGGTCGTTGATCTCATTCGTTACATCTTCCAACTGCTTACTCTCCAGCTGCACATGTTTGAAGAGTGTTTTATCAGACAGCCTCGCCGAACAGGAACACAAGTAAGTCAGGCAGTTCTTCTTGTTCTTATGCAGGTAGGCTATTTTGTGCAGGAGGATAAAATATAAATTATCAATCTGTAGATATGGGGGCTTCTTCTCCTTACTCGTTTGGCTCAATTCCTTTTCATACGACTCTAGATACACCTTGGCGTTACTCGCCTCCTCCTTCCTCAAGCATATTTGGAGGGCACTCTGCAAAATTGCATCCTCTTTTCCCTTGTCTAGCATTGTTTTTTTTTCCTTTGTGGTAACGCCGGATCTCTGTGTGTATGCGGGGACACTACATCAGTGTTTTCCCCCGCGACGCGTCTCCTCTGCGCGTCCGGCTTTTCCTTCCCCTTTGGTGGGCACTCCGCTCGGCTTCCTCAAAGCTGGCCGCTCCGTGTGCGCGGAATGGGGAAGCTTCAACAACCACAAAGGAACACAAACGGGGGGGGGGAAAAGAAAACAGTTGCAATGCCGGCGATGTCGACACTCCTTCGGCCAACACACCCTTCCGTTATGTTTGCCCACCCTACAAGCTTCTTCCCCTGGCTGTCAAAAACTGCTGCGCACTTGTATTTCCTCTTCAGTTGCCTTGGGCGAATCTGCGATGATCAAGTGTATGCTCCTTTCCACGTTCCTCCAAAATTAAAATCGGTATGCTTCTAATCGTGAGTGCGCTGATGAGGCCTACGAAGCAATGACGCGAAAATCTGCGTCCCTTTATTCCTGCCTCTTTGGTCCCTCTTGGGAAAAGGTTGGGTTATTTTTCTGTTACCCCTTCGTGCTGCTTCACGTTTGCGCGTTCTTTCGCAATCGTTGACATTTTTTTTTTTTTTTTTTTTTTTTTTTTTTTTCTAGAAGCAAGCTTTTTTGGGTTCTTTTTTTTTTTTTTTGTCGAGAGCGTTGAGAATATCTGGGCCAGTGTAATTGG